AGGTAAGTGTCTTGGTAGGTTTGGATTTGAAATTATAGAGATGGTAGTGAAGAGAGAAGATGAGAAAACCACCGCCGCCGCCACCTTTCCCATCGTCTATCGCCACCATCACAGCCACGACCTTCACTCACCATCACCACAAATAACATCAACACCACACCACACCACACCCGTCCTCAGATCTTCTTACTCTAGATAACGACGCCGTCAACGTTGCTCGTGTCTTGCAGTCTCGCCAGCGCTATAGAGAGCGGAGAGAGATGTAGAGAGATGAGAGAGGGAGGAAAATAATTGGGTTTGGGGAATAGTGGTGGGTATAAGATTAATTTAGTTTTAAAATATTATTATTAATATTTTAATGTTTAATTATCATTTGATTTTTGTAAAAATAAATTTTGAATCTGATTTTTGAAATTTTAAGTTGAAAACTCTGGTTCCATGTAATTTCCTCCCAAAATAACGTACCGAGCCCACAGCCCTTTAAGGAAGGGTATGCTTCTAAGAGCTCAAGAAACACGAGGATGACTCGGATAGGTACTTGATATCTAAACTTTGTCGAGTACAATTGTTACAACAGCCAATGCTAGAGCATCAAGAAGAAATCTCCGAATTATGAAATTAGGCTCCTCCACTGCTAAATTTATACTCATTATCAATGTTACAAAATTGTCCTCCGATTTATCTTTATCGCCTTCTATTGATTTTGCAAATGAAAAAATGTCAATGGAATCTGAGAAGCAATCTTTTTTACCATAATCTTGGTTGTCTTAATCATCATCACTATCGCCATCGCAACCGTAGTCATAACTGGTGGCTTCTTGTGGTGGCTGACACTTGACTGGTGGTAATTTTGGCGGTGGACCGGCACATCAATGTTGCTTGTCTTATCACTTGATTCCATGTCCTTGGGCTCATCGGGGATTTGCTCCCAAGAAAATGGCACCCCATTAGGATTGTTGTTGGGATTTACTGGCAACATGTCGTGGATGGTGATGACACCAAAGAGATGCATTGTTAATAAAAGTGGCAACAAAATCTAGCTTTCTTGGGCAATCCTTAGCATGAATTGTCTTCCGTATTCCTTAAAGTAGTAAAATTGCATGAGAAAAGAGGTTGCAAGAAAACTTAAGGTTGGAATGAATGATTGAGGATAAAGTTTAAAGAGGTTGTGAAATAAACAAGACCATTGTCAAAGTATTGTCGTGCCCTCACCCTACTATTGTTACGTGCGTTTTATTTAGTGCATAGTTATTACATATGATTGTGAAGTTACTAGTTCAACCATGAAATCACCTAATAGGTGAATAACGTGGAATTAAATTTATCAATTAAAAACAACAAGTTACTTTCTAATTGTTCTGGATGTTTAATCAATCAAGCCAAGTTATCATATATTGAATTGTTCGTTATTATTTATTTTGTGATTTAAACACAAGATTTGATGACGGAGACAACCCTCAATTGAGTAAAAACTCAGGGACTAAGTCAGTAGTTTCCACTTTAGACAATAAGAACTTATAGTATGATACAACCTATAAAACTCATTAGATTCGTCGATCTAATTCCTGCAATCTTCAAAACCAGCTGGAACGTACTTAACTCACACCTACTCCCGATCTTCTGGAATTATCTATTTCCTATCGATCACCAAGAACTCCTTGTTCTTATACTCCTTCTATGCTTGCGGTCTACCTCCCTCAATCTTCAGCTCCTTCCCGATGATATCTAGGAAGTGTGTGTTTTGGATTATATGAATTTGATGTTTTTCCCAAACTTGTGGTTGATTGATCTCAAGAATCAAAATGTTAATTTCAATATTGGAATGTGTTCTTGGATCTTGGAATGATGTTATGAAGATGTAAAACAATGATCAACCACCCACAAAAAAGTATTGGACATTGAGTATTTATAATAGGAGGTGTTTGTTTAGCTAGTACATGATAGATAAAACTTTTGAAAAATGCAAACTAGGATTTCTCGAAAAATACCGTTGTTCGAGCTCCAAGTTTGCTATAGGCGAGCGAGAGGAGTGTTGCTCAAGCAAGTACTGGGCAACAAGGATCCTGCTCTGGACGTTTGAGCATCAGCTAGGCGACATGCTAGCTTAAATTTGATTACTCTTTCTCCTCGTTCCATACTCGAACCCAACGATTCCTAATTCATCTATACAATTCTCCAAAAGATTACTTAACTTTTACAACTCTTTTATAATAATCTTATTCTTTTATAATAATCATTTTATCTAAAGAATTGTCGATACAACATAAATCATAACAAATTCAAACACTAAACAAGACAAAGCATCAAGACATCGAATCATTGATCGGATTGGTGTAGTCAATTCTTAACAAATTATTTTAATAATTTTTAATCATGTGACAAAATTAATTTTTTAAAGTTATTTGTCACTAATTATTCTTAAATGAATTATATTATATGTACATTCTCCCTTACAACATGATTGACATTGTCCCCATGTCGAGGAAATCTGTGAAGTGATGTGATTGATGAGTTTAAAATCAAGAGGGTAGATGTTACCATGCGAAAGAGTATAAAGAAAAATATAAGAGAGTGTGTAAATGTAGCATGATTGTTTTTAAATCTACTAATTAAAGAAATTGTAAACAAATTTGTTACTATAATATTTACAATTAACTTTATAATTGAGTAAAAAGTATAATTTCTAATAAAATATATATTCTCCTGATTTTTGTTATAGACAAACATTTTATCAATTAGCAACCAAAACTTTTATATATTAAAGTATTAGATTCATCTTAGCTAAAAATAATTTAGTTTACATAACAAATCTATGAAATAATCATTTATATTAAAAAAATTGATAACGAGTATTTACTTGACATTCATTTCACAAACAATAAGCCCTCATTACAATTTTAGAAAATATCTTAAGTTAATAATAGATCATACAATATGTATACATACATACATACATACATACATACATACACACACACATATATATACATATATATAGAGAGAGAGAGAGAGAGGTATATAGATATAGATATAGATACATATAAATGTCAACTAGTAAGTTGCTTGCTCCAATGGCTTGCTTGCCATCTTTCTAAAGATGAGTTCAAGGATTTCAATTTCAATTCCCTATGTATGTAGGCAGGCTAGGGATATGTTAGAGCTTGAGGCTGTACCGAGGAGTTGATGCTCGAGTCCTATTCCTGTTGTTGGGTGCTTGAGCATGGTTGGACGTCGTGGCCATGGGAAGATTCAAAGTATAAAGAGATAGCATCAACTTGTTACCTAAGCTGTTCAAAGGCTTTCAAGGTTATGGATAGCATAGGAGAAAACCAGATGTGCTAATCAACCCCCTGGATCCATGTGAGGAACGTGATGAGGGACTTGAGGAATCTGTTGGTTGTCCATGGGGATTTGCTAATGACCTTAAGGATCTTGTTGATTAACACAATGTGCTCTTCTTGATCTTTATGAGTGTGAAAAGTGTTGTTGGATGTAGTTGCGAATGTTGGTTGATCTCGGGATTTGAATTCAAGATGATCACGAACAATGCTCCTCAGCACCTTAAACAAAGGCTAAGTTGTGTGATTTTGTAGCCCCTCCGATGTTATAAGTCAGCAAAAATAGAAAGAAAATGTACAATAAAAAACTTTGTATACAATGAAGTTGTAATGTGTAGAATGAGACATAGTGTTTCAGATGGTGGATGCCTACTAGATTACGATGCTTGGGGGACTATAGGCGTGTCCCAAGTATCTAGGCAGCTGTCCTTTTAGGACTTTGTCCCTACACTACTATCACAATTATAGAATGCTCGATCTTCTTTGAATAAGGACAAAGCCAGGTGAAAATTTATTTAGAGTGGGTGTAGGGGCGAAGTCAGCCCTTCAAATTAGGGGGGTCCCGGAGTTGAAGGGGCGGCCCCCGAATTTTTTTTTGAAACATTATCTATTAAAATGAGAAAAGTTGATACTTTGTGATGGAGAAAGGAAACAAATGAACATAAATTAGTGTACGAAGATTTCACAAAAAAATCAAGAAACATATAAAAGAAACTACTAATCTTTTGAAATACCTCTCCATCACTGAGCCTGAGAATTGAGGAAACTTTTTCACTCATAATTGATAAACAATACAACTTCATAAACAACTAAATTGGCTGGATTAAGAGATTAAAAAAAAAAAAATTTCAAAAAATTGGGGGGTCCTGGCCCCCCAGGACCCCCTCCCCTCCACCCCTGAGTGGGTGTGACCACTCATGCCCGTTCATACCTCAATTGTTAGTGGTTGTGTACTTGACTTGAGATGAGGGATGCTGTGCTCCTCAAGATAAATAAGTCGGCCAAAAAGGTCATCCTCGATCATTTGGGATGAACAATAGTAATGAGAATGGAACCCTGACCTCAGGATATGAAGGGTCATAGTGAAAATGACCTACTCTTGTCATAAGGTGGGAAACGTCCTTGTGCAAGAAGTTAAAACCGATCATTGGAGTTGACATCATTGAATCGGTCCTAGGCAAAATTTATTGCATGGTTTGGGACAAATAGATTTTAATATGGTATTCAATTCAAGATAATATTGCTTAGAAAGTGCGACAAAACTTGCAAATTGACTAGACATAAGTAAATAATAGCGTGATATGACTCACACATTGGCTATACACAAGTATATAATAGATTTATAAAGGAATTGAGCTATTCCATGACTTCTCAATTTATTTCAATATTTTTCTATTCAACGAACATAAGCCATGATTAGATGTATATAGCCACATTAAATGTATAAGAGGCCATGCTCCACATAAATTTTTTTGTTGGACTATCATGAAAGTTGAAATGCATAATCACACATTCTTAAAAAAAAAAAAAATACTAATACAAAACATATTCTCCCACAAAATGAGGCTCAAACAAATCCTTATTTTGCAAAGATTTGGATTTTTTTACGAATATGGTCAATGGAAATGGTATATTTCAACTCATTTTGTCCATGTTTGAGCCTCATTTTTGGGGTAAAATGTAACTTGAAATAATGATTTTTGGAAGAATGTGTAGTTCAAAAATAAGAAAAAAAATTTGATTTACGTGTAAAATTATTTTATGGGAGAATATTTAGTTGAAAATGAGTTTGAAAGAAAAGAGGATGTGTTTAGTTTAAAGTTTCCAAGTTGTTTTCAGTTTTGTAAAATGCCCAAAACTTGTTTGATTTGATATTTTTTAAAACAAGAAAAACTTCATAATATAAAATTCAAAATAACTTTTTCATGAGTGTTTTCATTTAAAAAAAAAACTCAAAACATTCAAAACATAGTAATCCTAGATTTGAATACAAACGATTTGGCATACATATAATATTCAAGTTTCTATTGCATTTTTTGAAACGTGAAAAGTGCTGATTTTTAAAACGTGGGATGGAGCAGTGAGGATAAATTTTTGGTAAATTTGTTTTTATCTCAAAACTTGTAAATTGTAAATAAAATATATTTTATATTTTTTCTTATTACTTATTTATTGACTTGTTTAAATTAGAATGAATTTTAAATGTCAAAACGGGTGCCAAAAACGTGTTCAATTGATACAGCCCAAACAGATAAGTCAATCAGTCAGGTGCTACAGGTAAACTGAATTCTTGGCTACATTTTTTAGCATTTTCATGAGATGCAATATTTACTTTCCATACGACAACATATATAGAAATATATATTTACCATCTTGGACTAACTTGATTGATCAAATAATTAAAAAGAAAGAAATATTACTTTAACAAATCAAAAATTTCCTTAATTTAATTATTGATCATATCAAACATATTCTATGTGATTCTTACCGTGCAAAACTTCCATATTTTAGGTAAGACACGTTCGTGCCTTAGAGTGGTCTTTATATAAGTAAAAAAAAAAAAAAAAAATCATTAAGGGACGAACGCATGCTTAGAGAAGAATTTGTCGATGTCCTATGAACTTGCAGCAGCAAGTTCTGAAGTCATCTAGCCTTCTCTAGTGAATTTTGATGG